AATGAAACCATCCATGATAGAGGTCTTTTTGGGGAGTTAGATCGCGTCGATGTATGAATGTTGTGTCGTTAAACCCGCCACCACCCGACACAGCCAACTGGTAAGGGTTGTCGCGTGAACAGAACGTGGACGATTCGTCACTAGTACAGCACTTTAGTGTGTAGTGTATAGTGTAGTGTATAGTGTTGTGTATAGTGTAGTGTATAGTAGTGTAGTGTATAGTAGTGTAGTGTATAGTGTAGTGTATAGTGTAGTGTATAGTAGTGGAGTGTATAGTGTAGTGTATAATAGTGTATAGTAGTGTAGTGTATAGTGTAGTGTATAGTGTAGTGTATAGCGTAGTGTATAGTAGTGTAGTTTATAGTGTATAGTAGTGTATAGTGTAGTGTGTAGTGTGCTAGTAGTGTATAGTGTAGTGTATAGTGTAGTGTATAGTGTAGTGTACTAGTAGTGTATAGTGTAGTGTATAGTGTTGTGTATAGTGTAGTGTATAGCGTAGTGTATAGTAGTGTAGTGTATAGTGTAGTGTATAGTGTAGCGTATAGTGTAGTGCATAGTAGTGTATAGCAGTGTAGTGTATAGTGTAGTGTACTTGTAGTGTATAGTGTAGTGTATAGTGTAGTGTATAGTGGAGTATACTAGTACAGCACTAGTGTGTAGTGTATAGTGTAGTGTATAGTGTAGTGTATAGTAGAGTGTAGTGTATGGTGTAGTGTATAGCGTAGTGTATAGTGGAGTATAGTGTAGTGTATAGTGTAGTGTACTAGTACAGCACTAATGTATAGTGTAGTGTATAGTGTAGTGTACTAGTACAGCACTAGTGTATAGTGTAGTGTATAGTGTAGTGTATAGTAGTGTATAGTGTAGTGTATAGTGTAGTATACTAGTACAGCACTAGTGTATAGTGTAGTGTATAGTGCAGCACTAGTGTATAGTGTAGTGTATAGTGTAGTGTATAGTGCAGCACTAGTGTATAGTATAGTGTAGTGTACTAGTACAGCACTAGTTTATAGTGTAGTGTATAGTGTAGTGTATAGAATAGTGTATAGTGTAGTGTATAGTGTAGTGTACTAGTACAGCACTAGTGTATAGTGTGTAGTGTAGTGTACTAGTACAGCACTAGTGTATAGTGTAGTGTATAGTGCAGTGTATTAGTACACCACTAGTACAGCACTAGTGTATAGTGTAATGTATAATGCAGTATACTAGTACAGCACTAGTACAGCACTAGTGTATAGTGTAGTGTAGTGTGTAGTGCATAGTGTAGTATACTAGTACAGCACTAGACAGCACACCGGTGTTGGAGAGCCAAGCCACAACATTTACAAACAACACACCGGTGTGCTGTATTAGTATACTACACTATACACTACACTATACACTACACTATACACTACACTATACACTACACTATACACTACACTATACACTAGTGATGTACTAGTGCTGTACTAGTATACTACATTATACACTACACTATACACTAGTGCTGTACTAGTATACTACACTATACACTACACACTACACTACACACTACACTATACACTAGTGCTGTACTAGTATACTACATTATACACTACACTATACACTAGTGCTGTGCTAGTATACTACACTATACACTACACTATACACTACACTATACACTGCACTATACACTACTAGTACACTACACTATACACTCCACTATACACTACACTATACACTACACTATACACTAGTGCTGTACTAGTGATCTACTAGTATATTACACTACACTATACACTACACTATAGTGCTGTGCTAGTGACGAATCGTCCACGTTCTGTTCACGTGACAACCCTTACTAGTTGGCTGTGTCGGGTGGTGGCGGGTTTTAACGACACAACATTCATACACCGACACGATCTAACCCCCCCCCCACCAACCAAAAAAAAAACCTCCTCTATCATTGATGATCTTGGTCGCGAATACCCGCTACGTGTTAAACTAACAAACCCATAATCCCGGGCCTTTCGCTACGGTCACGTAGATAGGTTCCAGGAACAAAACTAACAACGAACCAAAATAATAACAACGAACGAACTACGGGCGTCGTCCTGGACACGGCCGCTTTGCGTTGCGATCGAAACGTCGTTCTTCTGTTATTCTCTTTGGAAGCCCATCCACGTGGCTTCGCCGAAAGACACAAGAATATTAACTCCCCGCGTTCACCAAAGCTTCAAGTCAACGTTTAATAAACCCATCATACCCTCTCTCCCCCCCCCCCTAAACCCAGCATCGCATCGGTGGATTCAGCCGGTGGAACGCCCCGCTACGAACCCGTTAGAGACACCAAGTTCGATTCCCGCTCACGTCCAGCACCGGTGACGATTGTCTGGCACCGGTCCGGGGCCTCCCCCTAGGTCAACTCGGCCTCAAAAACGAGTTTGCTGGCGGGCGGTGTGTAGTTAAACATCAGCCACTGGGGGAGAGACAAAGGCGGCCGGGCGTGGTGGTTGCTCGCCACCCACCCCCCCTCGCGTGCCACAGCGCCGGTAGCCTTCATAGGCGCTGCTGCTACCCGCTAACAGCACTTGCCCCTACAGCCTGTTAGAGGCTACACGGGGGATCTTTGTCTGTGTATAGGTGCTGCTGCTACTCGCTAACAGCACTTGGCCCTACAGCCTGTTAGAGGCTACACGGGGGACCTTTGTCTGTGTATAGGTGCTGCTGCTACCCGCTAACAGCACTTGCCCCTACAGTCTGTTAGATGCTACACGGGGGATCTTTGTCTGTGTATAGGTGCTGCTGCTAACCGCTAACAGCACTTGCCCCTACAGCCTGTTAGAGGCTACACGGGGGATCTTTGTCTGTGTATAGGCGCTGCTGCTACTCGCTAACAGCACTTGCCCCTACAGCCTGTTAGAGGCTACACGGGGGATCTTTGTCTGTGTATAGGTGCTGCTGCTACCCGCTAACAGCACTTGCCCCTACAGTCGGTGAAGGCTACACGGGGGGGAGGTCTTTGATCTTTGGGGTGGGTGGGTGAGTGAGTGAGCGGGTGAGTGAGCGGATGAGTGAGCAGGTGAGCGAGTGGGTGAGTGGGTCAGTGAGCGGGTGGGTGAGCAGGTGAGCGAGTGGGTGAGCGGGTGGGTCAGTGAGTGGGTGAGCGGGTGAGCGAGCGGGTGAGCGGGTCAGTGAGCGGGTGAGCGGGTGAGCGAGCGAGTGAGCGAGTGGGTGAGCGAGTGGGTGAGTGGGAGTCGCTTCCCGGTGAGTCAAGCCGTAACGACCGGCACGTCACCGTCACGACGTCCCCTCCCCCCCCCGTCCCCGCGTGGACAACTTCCTCCGGTTTATTTTTCGCCGCGCGGTCGGGTGGTGGAGGGGTCCGACGACACAACTCCCCTGGGACGGCCTACCCCAGCAGCCCAGCCCTCACCGCGAGTGGTGGCCAAACTGTGGGCCATGAGGCCACACCGTGAGGCCGCACCGAGGGCCGTGAGGCCACACCGAGGGCCGCGTCCCTGCACTCCGAGGGCGTCCCCACCGGTACGGCCACCGCTGCCGTCCTCGTCAACCAATCACGGCGAGGGGGAATCGATCTGCCGCTAGACGGGCCGCCAGGTCACCAGGTCACCGGGTCACTGGGTCACCAGGTCACCGGGTCCCTGGGTCACCAGGTAACTCGATTACCAGGTCACCATGTCACTTGGTCTCTGGGTCACCATGTCACTGGGTCACCATGTAACTGGGTCACCAGGTCACCATGTAACTGGGTCTCTGGGTCACCATGTCACTGGGTCACCATGTCACCATGTCACTGGGTCACCATGTAACTGGGTATCTGGGTCACCATGCCACTGGGTCACCAGGTCACTGGATATCTGGGTCACCATGCCACTTGGTCTCTGGGTTACATGTCACTGGGTCTCTGGGTCACCATGTCACTGGGTCTCTGGATCACCAGGTAACTGGGTCACTGGGTCACCATGTCACTGGGTCACCAAGTCTCTGGGTCACCAAGTCTTTGGGTCACCAGGTAACTGGGTCTCTGGGTCACCATGTCACTGGGTCTCTGGGTCACCATGTAACTGGGTCTCTGGGTCACCATGTCACTGGGTCACCATGTAACTGGGTCAACAGGTCACCATGTCACTGGGTCTCTGGGTCACCATGTCACTGGGTCACCAAGTCTCTGGGTCACCAAGTCTCTGGGTCACCATGTAACTGGGTCAACAGGTCACCATGTCACTGGGTCACCATGTAACTGGGTCAACAGGTCACCATGTCACTGGGTCTCTGGGTCACCATGTCACTGGGTCACCAGGTCACCATATAACTGGGTCTCTGGGTCACCATGTCACTGGGTCACCATGTCACTGGGTCACCAGGTCACCATGTAACTGGGTCTCTGGGTCACCATGTCACTGGGTCTTTGGGTCACCATGTCACTGGGTCACCAAGTCTCTGGGTCACCAAGTCTCTGGGTCACCAGGTAACTGGGTCTCTGGGTCACCATGTCACTGGGTCACCAAGTCTCTGGGTCACCAAGTCTCTAGGTCACCAGGTAACTGGGTCTCTGGGTCACCATGTCACTGGGTCTCTGAGTCACCAGGTAACTGGGTCACTGGGTCACCATGTCACTGGGTCACCAAGTCTCTGGGTCACCAAGTCTCTGGGTCACCAGGTAACTGGGTCTCTGGGTCACCATGTCACTGGGTCTCTGGGTCACCATGTCACTGGGTCACCATGTAACTGGGTCACCAGGTCACCATGTAACTGGGTCTCTGGGTCACCATGTCACTGGGTCACCATGTCACCATGTCACTGGGTCACCATGTAACTGGGTATCTGGGTCACCGTGTCACTGGGTCACTGGGTCACCATGTCACTGGGTATCTGGGTCACCATGTCACTGGGTCACCATGTCACCATGTCACTGGGTCACCATGTAACTGGGTATCTGGGTCACCGTGTCACTGGGTCACTGGGTCACCATGTCACTGGGTATCTGGGTCACCATGTCACTGGGCCACCATGTAACTGGGTATCTGGGTCACCATGTCACTGGGTCACCATGTAACTGGGTATCTGGGTCACCGTGTCACTGGGTCACCATGTAACTGGGTATCTGGGTCACCGTGTCACTGGGTCACTATGTCATCAGGTCACTGGGTCTCTGGCACCGGGTCACCGGGTCACCAGGTCTACTGTCGCGCCTCGATCAGCTTGTTGCTGAACGCGAGCGCGACGTCGGCTCGGCGCACCGCAGCCGGCGCCGCCTGGGCCCCACCGCCGTCGCCACCAACGGCACCACCGGCACCAACGGCACCACCGGCACCGCCACCGGCACCACCGGCACCGCCGCCGGCACCAACGGCACCGCCCTCCTTGAGGCCGTTCTCCTTGGCCCGTCCCGGTGTGGGGGTGGCCGCATCTTTCTCCGACCGGGCGGTGGCGCCAGTGGAACCCCCGGCGCTCGCAGAGGGGGCAGTGGCACTCGCGTTGGGGTTGGCACCGCCGCCGTTGACACCGCCGGCGTCGACGCCGGCGCTGGCACCACCGGCGTTGGCACCGCCGGTGCCGGCGCCGGCACCACCGGCGTTGGCACCACCGGCGCTGGCACCACCGGCGCCGGCACCACCGGCGTTGACACCACCGGCGTTGACACCACCGGCGACGCCAACGCCGGCGCTGGCACCGCCGGCGTTGGCGTCTCCGCTGGGCGCCGTCTTCACGACGGCGCCGCCGCCGGCGCCCCCGTGCGCTTTGGCTCCCGTTCTGCCGGTTGCCGAGTCGCGAGCGCCGGACTTGGCCACGTGGGCCGTGCCGGCCCTGCCTCTCTTGTGGGCGGCGGTGGCGGCGGCGGCGGCGGCGGCGGTGGCGGCGGTGCCAGGAGGCTTCTTGTCCGTTTTCTCGGCCTGAGCAGAGTTTGCCAAAAAAAAAAACTCAATGTTTTTGCCCCGTCACCATCTGAGGAAGGGCAACTGCCCGAAACGCACACCACGAGATAAAGATCCCCCGTGTAGCATTCACTGAGTGTTTGGGCAAGTGGTGTTAGCACCACGCACAGCCGGCCACCTTTGTCTCTCCCCAGTAAGGATGTTTACACACCACCACCACCGGGTACTCATTTGAGGCCGAGTTGACATAAGAGAGGGTGGTGGTGGTGGTGGTGGTGGTGGTGGTGGTGGCCGTGAGCGGAGATGACCCTTTGACCTTGCAACCTCGCAACGTGCACTCAACGAGCAAGCGTCACCACCACCACCTCCATCACGACCACCACTACTACCACCACCACCACCTCATTCGCCACCACCACTACCTCCACCACCACCTCCACCACCTCCCCCTTCATCACCACCACCACCACTACCATCACCACCACCTCCATCACCACCACCTCTACTACCACCACCTCCACCTCCATCACGTCCACTACCACCACCACCACCACGACCACTACCACCACCTCCATCACCACCACCACCTCCATCACCACCACCTCCAAAACCGCTACCTCCACTACCTTCAACTACTTCCACCACCACCTCCATCACCAACACCCCCTCCACCACCTCCAATACCACCACCACCTCCACCACCACCTCCACCACCACTACCTCCATCACCACCACCACAACCACCACCACTGCGAACACCACCACAACCCCCTCCATCACAACCACCACTACCTCCACCACCACCTCCACTACCTCCACCAACACCACCACCTCCATCAGTACCACCCCCTCCACCTCCACCACCTCCACTACCACCACCACCACTACCTCCACCACCTCCACTACCACCACTACCTCCACCACCTCCAACAACAACCGTCATTCGCCACTACGTGGCAGTGACGTCACCACGACGCTTGTGCCAGGCTATGTGTACGTTGAGGCCAGGTGAAGTGTCGAACGCCCGCTGGCAGGAGGTCACTGGGCAGACGCAGGTGCCACGGGATGACTGGCTGAAATGACCGAGATGACCGGCTGATGCACCACCTGTGCCCCCTACTGTGCCAACTGGCTGTGCTTTAGCCACCCGGTGCTATGCTCATTGTTATGAGCGTCGCTCATCCGCCCTGTGTTGTTGTTGGAGGGCGACTGCCTCCAATTGCCCAGTAGCATCCTTCACGAGCCTCCTCCATAGAGGCCGATCTTGACACCGCTGGTACTAGTCATCGGCAAGTCCACTCAGCTCCACGTCCTCCCGTACCACATCACTTCATCTCTTCTCCAGTCCATGCCGCGCCCGTTTAGCCCCCTCTATCTGGCCGAACAAAAGCTGTTTAGGCATGCGGTGGCTGAGCATGCGGGCTACATGACCCAGCCAATGCAGCCGTATCTGCCGGAGGAGCTCACCAATGGGACTTTGTCCAGATCTTTCAAGGATTTGTGAGTTGCTCACACAATTCAGCCTGGTTAAACCCAGGATGGATCGTAGGCAGGCCAGCCTAAATGTTTCTAACTGGCGAAGATGTTCCATTAGGGGGGGTCCACGTTTCGCAAGCATAGAGAAGGGAGGGCATGACTGTGGCCGAGAAGACCTGAAGCTTAGTGCAGAGCGACAGACCAGGTAGCTTCTACACAGCGTTACGCAACCGATGAAAAGATATTGCCGCTCGACTGATTCGGAGTGAGACCTCTGCTGTTAAACTGGAGCCAGTCATAAGCACACTGCCCAGGTATGGGAAACTCTCCACTCTCTCCACAACTGCCCCATCACCGATTGGGAGTTGTGGGGGTGGAGTGTCCGATGGTACAAAATACCCAGGCAGGTGCTTAGTTTTGGTGGGGCTGATGGTAAGGAACCACCTCTTAGTGGCACGCTCCAGTCTCAGCAGCAGCGTCTCCAACTCCTCCTCTGAATGAATAGCTATTACCAAATCATCAGCATGCATAACGTGGTTGAGCAATAGGGAGCCATCCCTTGACCGCGCCCGGGCATCGATCAGCCTCCCATTATATCTGTACCATATGGAGATTCCCCCGGTACAGCTATCGAACGCTTCACGAACTACGTGGTCAAAATAGATGTTAAATAATGTGGGAGCCAGAGGACATCCCTGTCGCACCCCAAGGTGTACAGCGAATGGCTCTGACTCCCGGCCATGTAGTTTTACCTGGGCCCGCTCACCATCATGAAGGTCCTTAATGATCGTGAGCAGAGGGTCAGGTACTCCAAAAGCACGAAGAACAACCCAGAGCCCAGGCCTACCGATGGTATCATAGGCCTTGACCAGGTCAATAAAGCAGAGATATAGGTCTTGTTGGAATTCCCTACACCTCTGCTGTAGCAGACGGACAGAAAATATGGCATCTGTGCAGGACCGCCCTTTCCTGAAACCGCATTGGGGCTCCGCATGCCTCTCCTCAGCGTGCCTGGCAAGGCGATGTTGAATAATTCTTGCCACGACCTTTCCCGGCACACTGAGGAGTGAGATGCCCCTGTAGTTGGTACAGTCTGTGCGGTCCCCCTTCTTAAAAAGGGGGACCACCAGGGCATCCTTCCAATCCTGCGGAACCCGTCCTGTGGTCCAGACTGTTGTTATAATGTCATATAGGGCAGTCTGTGCACAAACGCCGCCCTCCCTCAGCATTTCGCTTGGGAGATCATCTCTGCCCGCTGCCTTTCCTGGTCTCAGACTCCAGATCGCCTTCAATACTTCCTCAACAGATGGCACCTCAGCCAGCCATTCACAGGGGTTGACTTCTTCCAATATTTGAGGCACCGCAGCCTCAGCAGGGTCATCTTCACTTTGTGCCACGATGTTTTCCTGGCTGAGGGATTTTCCCTCCCCCAGGACCTCACAGAAATGCTCAGCAAATCTGCAAACCTGTTCCTGGGGGTCGGAGATTGGGTCACCGTTTTTTCCCCTAATGATGGTACTAGGTGTGGCGCTGCAGATTACTTTTTTGATGGAGTTAAGTAGAGATTTGTGATCACGGGCCACTGAGGCAGACTCCATCTCCTCAGCAACCCGCGACCACCACCCATCCTTGCAGCGCCTCACGGCTCTCCGAACCTCCGAGCGAAGGCTGCGGTAAGCCTCCTCATTCTCTGACGTGGGAATCTGTAGCCGATGACAGTGGGCCTGTCGCTTTTTCTCAACCATCCTGAACACCTCCTCTGTCAGCTAGGGTCTCTGGGGAGGTCTGGACCGCGTACCCAAAGCAGCCATTGCAGCTCCATGAGTCACAGTACTAAACCTCGCCCATTTACCCTCGACATCAAGAGGAGTCGGGGACGATGCCAATCCCAGCCGCAAGCGATGATGAAATTCTCGCTTGCAACTTTCATCAGATAACTGAAACCAGGCCACTTTAGGTTGGAATGGGGTCCTGGGTGTACACCCACCACCAGAGTGGAAGAATGGCAGGTGCATCTTACAGATGACTAGTCGATGGTCAGAGGGCAGATCAGCTCCATAGTAGGTCCTGGTGTCAAGGACATGGGCTCGCATCCGCCGGTCCGTCACTATGTAGTCCAGCAGATGTTCTTGCTTGGACCCGGCATGCATCCATGATGTTGTGTGGATGCGCCGATGCCGGAACAGCGTGTTGGTAATTACAAGCCCATGGGCTGGACAAAAATCTAGCAGCCTCCTACCGTTGTTATTGAGCTGATCTGGCCCATGCCCTCTAATCACTCCAGACCAGGTGCCAGTATCATGACCAACTCGGGCATTGAAGTCACCCAACATGATGACTCTATCCCGAGGGGCCACTTTAGCCAGCACCTGTGACAAGAGGTCATAGAAGGCATCTGACTCATCGGCTTTGCCTGCATCCCTCCACGGATGTTCATCTTCGGTGGGGGCATAAGTAACCACGACCACCATTCCTCGCCTCCGGTTGATGGGAAGGCGAGCCCAAAGTATCCTGGGGCTTACAGCTTCCCACACCTCACCGCCACGCTCCCACACCCCCTTCATTCTTTTGTTCAAAAGAAGAGCCACACCCTGTTGTTTGGCAGTCTGCTGCCCCGAGTAGAGGACTGTCCACCCCTCATGGTGGCAGGAGCCAGAGCCGGTCCACCGGACCTCCTGAATGCCACATAGATCCAGGCGGAACCGGTCCAGCTCCCGACAGAGGAGTGGCAGCCTCTCCTCCGCAGTGAGCGTTCGAACATTCCACGTGGCCATCCGTAGTGGTTTTTCGTTGTTTCTGGAGGAGCCCCGAGGGTAGATATGCAATCTCCTCGCTCCGCCAATTGAGATTTGGCCAGGAGACGTCATAGACGCCTGGCCCCCCGGGGCCTCCGGCACAAGCTTATTAGTTATATACTTAATTCGCGGTTTAGTGGTAATTAATTGAAGGTGGAGGGATTACCAGCCCCTCGCACCCATCCAGAGCCCCCGTTTAGCCCCTGTGGTGGACACATATGCCATGAGGGGAGGAGCCAATCACAATTGGACCTCCCCCCACAGCACTGTCCACGACAGAGTTGCCCGTCCGGCACCTCCACCAACACCACCACCTCTATCACCACCACCACTACCTCCACCAACACCACCACCACTACTACCACTACCTCCACCAACACCACCACTACCTCCACCACCACCACTACCAACACCACCACTACCACTACCTCCACCACCACCTCTATCACCACCACCACTACCTCCACCAACACCACCACTACCACTACCTCCACCACCACCTCTATCACCACCACCACTACCTCCACCAACACTACCACTACCTCCACCAACACCACCACCTCTATCACCACCACTACTACCTCCACCAACACCACCACCTCTATCACCACCACAACCTCTATCACCACCACCAACACCTCTATCACCACCACCATCTCTATCACCACCACCACTACCTCCACCAACACCTCTATCACCACCACCACCACCCCCTCCATCCACCTCCACCACGTCCACCACCTCCACTACCACCACCTCCACTACCACCACCACCACTACCACCACCACCACTACCACCTCTATCACCACCACCACTACCACCACCACCACTACCACCACCACCAACACCACCACCACTACCACCACCACCACCAACACCACCACCACTACCACCACCACCACCACCACCTCACCTTGTTCACTTTTCTGGCACCGGCCCCCCCGGCCCCCCCAGCCTTCCCGAGTGGCCGTCGATTCCCTGTGGCCCCCTTGGCTCCCTCCTTGGCTCCCTCCTTGGCGCCCTCCTTGGCTCCCTCCTTGGCTCCCTCCTTGGCTCCCTCCTTGGCGCCCTCCCTGGGCGTCCCGCGGGCCCCTCCGGCCCTTGACAAGCGGTCAGCGGCCCGCTTGGCGATGGCGGAGGACGAGGCCCTGGCCGCGGCTGACCCCGCGTGGTGGAGGCCGTTGTGGTTGTTGTGGCCGGAGATTCCGGAACCGCCGGCGCCGCCGCCGGCGCCGGCGGCGGCCACAGGATGAGGAGGAGGATGAGGAGGAGGAGGATGAGGAGGCTCGAAGGGCGACTTGAAGACGGGGTGGAGTTTGAGAGGCCGGCACGGAGCGGCCGCCGAGGGGTCCGGCCACAGGCGGAACTGGGCCCTGCGGAGACGAGAGGTCAGAGGCCACCACGCAGTGGCGAGTTCGTTCACACGTCCAGCGCGATGGTGCTGGTGGCGGCCATGATGATGACGACGATGATGATGTTGATGACGATGATGACGATAATGATGTTGATGACGATGATGACGATGGCGACCATGATGATGACGACGATGACAGTGACGATGGTGACGATGATGACGACGATGATGACGATAATGATATTGATGATGATGACGACGATGACGACCATGATGACGACGATGACGACGACGATGTTGATGACAATGATGATAATGGCGACCATGATGATGACGACGATGACGACCATGATGACGACCATGATGGCGACGATGACGACGACGATGATGATGACGATGATGACGATGATGACCACGATGACAATGCTGATGATGACGATGATGACGACAATGATGACGACGGTGATGATGACAATGATGGTGATGACGATGACGACAATGATGATGATGACGATGCCGACGATGACGACGATGATAACGACGATGACGACGACAACGATGATGATGACGATGATGACGACGACAACGATGATGACGATGATGACGACGACAACGATGATGACGATGATGACGACGACGATGATGATGACGATGATGACGACAACGATGATGACGATGATGACGACGACGACGACGATGATGACGACGATGATGATGATGACGACGATGATGACAACGACGACAACGATGATGACGACAATGACGACGATGATGACGACGACAATGACGACGACGACAATGATGACGACGATGACGACAATGATGATGATGACGACGATGATGACGACGATGATGACGACGATGACGACAATGATGACGACGATGATGACGACGATGACGACAATGATGATGATGACGACAACAATCGCAATGATGACGACGATGACGATCATTTGAGGAGTCTCAAGGCTCTCCACTGATGGAGAGATCGGCCACGTTTTTCGCAATGTATTGAGAGTTATTTTTTTCTTTCAAAACACCGTATGTATCGATATTTATTATATATATTTTACACCAGTTTTGTATTGATAATTATAAAAAAAATTACAACAGTTTATGTATTGATAATTATTTTTGTTACAACAGTTTTGTATTGATAGTTATTTTTTTTACAACAGTTTATGTATTAATAATTATAATTTTTTACAACAGTTTGTGTATTGATAATTATTATTTTTTCAACAACCACAAAAATCTGAATACGCATTTATTAACATTCTTCTTTTATGAAAATATGCATTCTCAATAATAATAATGTAATTCGATCATTAATAATTTTAATAATAAAATTATCATTAATAATTTTAATAATAAAATTATTAATGATCATCCTTTGTACATTTATTTTTGACCAATTCTTTCGGGTTTTTTTTTTAACAAGCACAAGTTTCAGAGCAATGCATTATATTTTTTTAAATAAAAATTATTTGCCAACCACAACTTTGTGAACATTTATTTTGTCCCGTAATCGTTTGGCAACAATTATTTATTTAGGCATATTCCTTCTGTATGTATTACTTTATTATTCATCTCTACGAGAATTCGTCATCTCGGAAGCCCAGAATCAGAATGTTTCAAAACACACAGCATCTGTATTCACGAATCCGATGATCTATGAAGCTCTTACGCGAACACGACCCAGGTGCAACGTTTAACCACCGTAGACGATGCTGCTGCTACTGCTGCTGCTGGCGCTGCGTGGCGTAGCCTAGGGAGGGGGGCACCCCCAGCGGCAGCTGTCCCCGTGTGACACACTCACAGCGCGATCGTCAACGCAGGAAGACGCTGCTGCTGCTGCTGCTGCTGTTTCACAGACGCAGCACCAGCAGCTGCGGTGGTTTCACAGTCAGGGGGTGGCGATGATTACTGCTGCGTGGCGTAGCCTAGGGGGGCACCCCCAGCGGCAGCTTGCTTCGCTTTAAGGCCACGTGAAGAAGAAGTATCGGAGGTCACGGGACAGACCCAGCAGGTGCCGTGGGTGGGGTTGACTGTTTGAGATGACGGACTGCCGGGGCCAAGCGCTGTTAGTAGCGAGCAGCAGCAGCAGCAGCTGCCGATGAAGGCTACCGGCACCTGTGTGCACGCCAAGGGGGGTGGGTGGCCAGCAACCACGCCCGGCCGCCTTTGTCTCTCCCCCAGTATGGGGGATGTTTAACTACACGGCCACAGCGCCAGCTACTCATTTGAGGCTGAGTCGACCTGGAGGGAGGAGTGCCCCGTGAACGGGTTCAGACAATCGTCGCTGGCGTTGGTGGCCGAACTTGGGGCCCGCCGGGTTCGTAGCGCAGCGTTGCCCGCTAACCCGCTACTCGTCTAGTGCTCCCTGTGCACGTGCACACACACGTACACACACGTGCACACACACACACACGTGCACGCACACACACGGGCACACACACACGTGCACACACACACGTGCACACACACACGTGCACACACACACACGTGCACACACACACGTGCACACACACACACACACGTGCACACACACACACACACGTGCACACACACACACACACACGTGCACACACACACACGTGCACACACACACACGTACACACACACACACACACGGGCACACACACACACGTGCACACACACACACACGTACACACACACACACGTGCACACACACACACGTGCACACACACACACGTGCACACACACACGTGCACACACACACGCACGTGCACACACACACGTGCACACACGCGCACGTGCACACACACACACACACACGTGCACACACACACACACGTGCACACACACACGTACACACACACACACGTGCACACACACACACGCACGTGCACACACACGCACGTGCACACACACACACGTGCACACACACACGTGCACACACACACGTGCACACACACATACACACGTGCACACGCGCACATGCGCACGTACACACACACACACTCACGCACGCAACAACAACCGCCATTCGCCACTAAGTGGCGGTGACGTCACCACGACGCTTGTGCCAGGCTATGTGCACCCTGAGGCCATCACGTGAAGTGTCGAACGCCCGCTGGCAGGAGGTCACGGGGCAGACACAGCAGGTGCCACGGGTCGACTGACTGAGACTGACTGAGATGACTGGCTGATGCACGTGCACACACACGCACGTGCACGTGCACACACACGTACGGTGGTGGTGGGGGGGGGTGGTGTCCCTGGGTGCGAACCCAGCCCCCACCCCCTCCACTCCCCCCCCTCCACCCCCCGAGCTCACCCACCGGTACGACGAGGTCCCGGCGGCACCGTCCGTGGCGGTCACGTGACCGGGCCCTTCCCACGTGGCGGCGCCTGGGCTGGAGTGACCGACGGAGCCTCCGCCACCGCCTCCGCCGCCTCCTCCACCGCCTCCTCCTCCTCCTCCTCCTCCTCCGCATCGCTCCCGCCTCGTTTGCAGGGGCCACGCGCGGAAGTCCAGCTTGTACTGAGTCTCCGTGGGGAAGGGCTCGTCGCTCGCCTGGTACTCGGCACGCGGTTTGCAACTCGCCTCCGGGCGGACCTGCGGACCGACGGAGGCAGCGGAGGAGGAGGAGGAGGAGGAACGTGAAGGCGGCATGGCGTTGGCAACACTCGGCGGGTCGCGGATGGGGGGGGGGGGGGGGGGGCGAGTGATGTGAACGAAGCAAGGGATGTGCAGGAGGCAGGGGGAGGCAGGGCCTCGCCGGGCATTGCTACCAAATGGAAATGGCTGTTACGAGAGAGAGAGAGGGAGAGAGAGAGAGAGAAAAGCAAATAAAGAATAAATCGAATGAACTTCTTTGGTTTTTTCGGTAAAAGTCGCCGCCCTGCGTAGAATGAGAATGAAATAATAAATTGATAAAATAAAACAACGCGATGAAATTCTCACGACGTTTCGGCCACAACACAAGCGGCCTTCATCAGGTGAAGGGACGAGACTGTCTGGAGGACAGCGCTGGAGCGAACACAGCCAAGCGCTGTCCTCCAGACAGTCTCGTCCCCTTCACCTGATGAAGGCTGCTTGTGTTGTGGCCGAAACGTCGTGAGAATATTATTGCGTTATTTTATTTGATCAATTTTGTTATTTTATTCTCATTCTACGTGGTGGTGACTTTACCGAAAGAACCAAAGAAGATGAATCCTCGCAGTCACGAAAGCTTTCAATCGAAATTTAAATCGAATCAAGTTAACGTTGAGATTTATTTATTTTTGCCGCTGATGATGCGTTCCAAATGTCACTTCTGTACGATTCCGATCATTTTTTTGTTTGTTCTCGTCAGAGGCGAGAGGTGAGGCAGCGACGAGCTCAGCCTCACCTCTGATTGCGCAAACCCCTAAGTGACTGGATGGAGCACGGGCAATAAGCGCGTGCCTGTTACTATCTCAGTACGTCACCAATGTAATGTTTGTAGACCCCTTCATTTCATGTCCTCGCCTTCCATACTCCAGGTTAACTTATTTCACTTATTATGTGCATAAAGATATTAAGGCTCGCTGGTCTCATCATGTAACTGCAATGAAAAAGCACCAGGGGAGGCAGCTGTAACATCTGCCTCACCGAGGGGAGGGGGGCGTGTCTAACACTGTCTAACACGCCCCCCTCCCTCCGTGAGGACACGCCCCCTCAGTGAGGCCACGCCCCCTCCGTGAGGCCACGCCCCGCTCAGCGTGTGAATCTGGCTCTGACACTAGCAGGTGCCTCCCCAGCCACTGACCTCACCGCACGTCACTGCTGTGAAGGCTACCGGGGCCTGTGGCACACGAGGGGGGTGGGTGGCCAGCAATCACGCCCGGCCGCCTTTGTCTCTCCCCCAGTGGCGATGCTCACAACACACCGCGCCAAGTGCTCATTTGAGGCTGAGTCTACCTAGGGGAAGGCCCGGGACCGGTTCAGAGAATCGGCACCGGTGTTTGGCCGTGATCGGGAATCGAACTCGGGTCGCCGGGGTTTGTAGCACGGCGTAGCGCTAACCGCTACACTACCGCTCCCCACTACATACAGACATTCACACAGACACACACACACATACAGACGCGCACAGACACACACACACGCAGACAGATACAGACACACACACAGACACACAGACACACACACACACAAACACAGACACATAGATACACACGCAGACGCACAAACACAGATACACACACAGACACACAAACAGACACACAAACACAGACACACACACAAACACAGACACATAGATACACACGCAGACACACACAGACACACACACGCAGACAGATACAGACACACACACACAGACACACACAAACACAGACACATAGATACACACGCAGACACACAAACAGACACACAAACACAGACACACAGATACACAAACACAGACACACAGATACACACGCAGACACAAACACAGACACACAGATACACACGCAGACACACAAACACAGATACACACACAGACACACAAACAGACACACAAACACAGATACACACGCATACACACAAACACACACACAAACACAGATACACACGCAGACACACAAACACAGATACACACACAGACACACAAACAGACACACAAACACAGGCACACAGATACACACGCAGACACACAAACACAGATACACACACAGACACACAAACAGACACACAAACACAGACACACAGATACACACGCAGACACACAAACATAGACACACAGATACACATGCAGACACAAACACAGATACACACACAGCCACACAAACAGACACACAAACACAGACACAGATACACACGCAGACACACAAACACAGACACACAGATACACACGCAGACACAAACACAGATACACACACAGACACACAAACAGACAGACAAACACACAGATACACACGCAGACACACAAACACAGACACACAGATACACACGCAGACACAAACACAGATACACACGCAGACACACAAACACAGACACACAGATACACATGCAGACACAAACACAGACACACAGATACACACG